TTTTGCTTTCTTTCTTTCTTTCTTTCTTACTCACTCACTCTTTCACAAACACCACTCTCTCTCTTTCTTTCTTTCTTGCTTGCTTTCTTTCTAGCTTTCTTTCTGTCTCTCTTTCTTTCTTTCTCTCTCTGTCTCCTCTCTCTATCTCCCCACCCTCTCAGATTCCTCTCTCCCTCTCTCCCCCTCTCTCCCTCGCTCCTTTAATCTCTTATCCTACACCTTTCCCCCTCTCCCTCCTCTTTATGTTCACCAGAAAAGCAAAGCACCAACAATTAAAGATACCTATTCCGTGCATATGTCTCCAGTTGTGTCCACATTTTGCTCTGCATCTATCTACCAGTCTCCAAAAGTTTGCTGTTGACCGGTATAAATTCTACTGACCTAGAGGATTTCGTCTTAGTGTCTTTCTGGTTGCAGTTACCTTCAAAGACTATCCGAACGTTTGTCTGATGTATTTTCCATGCTCTCTGTATCGCTTTCTTTTCCAACTTTTATTTTATCGCGATTGAGCTCACTAATATAACTCCACCATGGCAGCCAAGTCAAATTGTCTCAGGCCCAAAGTCTACTGCAGGTAGTCATTGAAGAAAGTTTTAAGTTTCATTTCAGCAGCGGCGTCTTGTTTGGTGTCTATAAACGTGGTGAAACTCATCAAAATTTTATGAACTTGAAGTGAGATACATGTACATGTATGCATTTAGTTATGTGCGATAAAACAATTATCACTGCCGATTTCACCACCCTGTCTCTAAGATCTTTTTGTGTCTTGCACCAGCAAACTGGTACGGTGCTTTATTGACAATGTCGATATTGACTAATGTGCTTCTCTTCTCTATTAAAACGACCCATTAGTGTCAATCAGGGCGTGATATTCGTGCAAACACAAAGCACAAAATTCTTCACCCATACAAACATCGGAACTTTCAATCGTCTACTAAAGGACTACATTAAACGGCTTTCAGAAGATGGGTATAGTAAGGGATGGAATGGGGAGACACACATACACACAGAC